GGACATCAAAGGAGTAATTCATTTTGAACTGCTCAATCGACAGCGAACTGTTAATGCAGAGATCTATAGTCGGCAACTGGAACGTTTAAACAATGAAAGTCCACAAGTGGCACGTTTGACGCAACACAAGATCATATATGGAGTTGGGGTGGGAAGTTCTCCCCACCCACTATATTTTCTAGATATGACACCATTAGATTACCATCTTTTTCGTTCGCTGCGACACCATCTTAACGTGGAAGGTGTTAAAGAGGACATCGACATGTTTTTTTTTTGTTTCAAAGCCAAGTGATTTCTTTAATCGAGGCATTAACAATGTGATTGTAAAATGGAAAAGCATCATCGATAAGAATGGAGACTATTTCATTTAATAAATGTTTTGTTTTGATATATAAGTTGCTCGAGTTTTTTCATCTAAAAAAAAGCGACAGTAATTTCTTGACGACCTAATATATGAAACAAAAGTCTCCCATTTGAAACTAACACATTTACCTAAGTGAAGTAAATAAAAACAAAACAACTCACCTTAAATATTTTTTTATTATCGATAACTACCGATGGAGATTTTTCTACATACGACATTTAAAAAAAGTTAACTTATAATGAAATTAGAGGTCATAAAAAGACACTCCATTAATTTATTTCACAAATATTATGTTATTTTATTGAATTTCTTTCTTTATTTTTTATATAAAAAAACATATAATTTATGGCTTGGGGCCAGGCGTGGCCTAGTGATTAGCACTAGCGTGTCCCGGGCTGTGAATCTAAAGGTTCATGGCTCGCGTCCCATTACCAGAAAAACTCGCTTCGCTCTATGGAGTAGTGAGTGTGTATAAGAGTTATGGTCAACTTCCACTATTAGTTCACATAAGATTATCCCAAGAGTGAGTGGTGACTTTGTTGTTGACTTGCTTTCTTCCTTCTAGTCCTTAACTTGAAAATTATGGACGGCTGGGCGCAGATAGTTCTTGTACTACTTTGCACGAAATTTCTAAAACAGATAAAATAAAAAATATGGGTGTTTATATTTTTACAGAAATAAGAAATCAACGATATCTTTAAAAATAATTTGATTATAACATTAAAAGCTTTTCAATCAGTGATCCCTTATAGTAAAAGAGTGAATAAATGCTACTCTTTTTTTTTATAGTTCCAAAGACAGGACTAGTAGTATTAGTCTTAATACGTCAGCTCCACTTTTTAAGAGTTTAAATTTCCAATAGTGTCAGTCTTAAGACGTCAGCTCCTCATGTTAAGAGTTTAAATTTCCAATACTATTAGTCTTAAGGCGCCACCACCATCTTTTAATTTAAATTAATTAAATTTCTCTTGCATTCACATGATGTTTTAACGTGGTATTTTAACTCCACAGCATATGTTTCAAGTTAAAAAAGATGCATTGTCAACATCATCACTTTAGTGAAATTTTTATATTCGACATTTTCCTATTGTATCGCCCTCTTATGTCATGTACATAAATTGACGAGTACTTACTATAACGCATAAAACTTTCCGTAACAAGAATATTAATTTTTCTTTAGTTAGACATAGTATATAAATAAAACAGAAGAATGATTTACGTTACAATCCTTTTATTATAAAGAAAATAACAGCTGTGGCAACGATTGTTAACTGAGGGTGAGAAGAATAGTTGTGGCAAGCGACTAGCTGATACTCCGTGAAACATATTAATTTGTTAATTTAATTAATAAAAATTATAAGTCACTTGGAAACTCACGTTTACTTCCACGGAGCATTTTGGTTTATTCGCAAGCCTTATTTATATAAGAAAGGGGGGAAATAGATGCTATCCACATCTTGATAAAAATATTTTCCCTCCAAACGGGAAATTATTTCAATATCATTTGTATACGCTATTTCTGTCCCGTTACAAATAGTACACTCGCTAACTAACGAGTTTATACTTCAAAGTATTAATAGTATTCAGGAGCGTTATTGAGCTGTGACGTCATCTTAAAAAAATTCACATTTGAGCAGGCCAACTATACACATGCTAGTTGTAGTACTGTATTAATAAACGTTGCTATGTGATTTGGCAGGAAATTCTGACATATCAGTGTTTTTTATAAAAATACCAGATTTCACTGGCAGCTTGTTACCTGTGTGGACACTGTGTCGGATAATAAAACGTGTCCTTTTGGCCTAGTTTAGTTTTTACTAAACAAAATTCAAATGAGTGTCCAGTCCTGACCATTTGTAAAAAAACGGAATAATTTATCGGTTGAATGACTAAGCTATATATATTTACCAGCTAGGGAAGATAAAAGGCTTTATCCCTTTATACACGGCTAGTGTATGTTTGAGATCTATTTTGGCTACCCAGCTTCTTCCGTTATAAAAAAATGTCACAATTTAACGAGCGACATCTACTTTTTAATATGTGATATTTTCGATAATTTAAACTTAGTTAACTATCATAGTTAGGTAATTTCGGGAAGAAGAAATTTCCATTTTACTCACAGTAATTTGTAATTACACAATAAAAGTGTTTAATTAAACATAAATAGTTGTTATTTAAAAATAAAACACTACGGTACAGTGAAGTATTTAAGTAAGGTAAAAACTTTAGAATAAAAACAGCACAACAATTTAACACTAGCTGTATAAACAAGAGGACTGAATTAACACGATTTTTCATTCTGTCATTTGAATAGCTTGAGAAACGTTGAAGAACAACCTTCAACATCATGCTCCAAAAGGTTCTGGCACAATCTCCTTCTAGATTCAAAATTTACTGATTTCGTTGCGTTGTGTCACACACTGACTAGTAGCATTTAAAACTGTTCCTATCGCTTTCTGAAGAAAAAAGCTCTCTACCAAAGAAGTCATGGTAGGAAAGAAGGGACCATCGACCTATCTTGATCTTAAGTACTGGGGTATTAGCAGGAAGGACAAAGGAAGTTCGTCACGGGAAACGGACTTAAGAGAATTAATTAGGGGTTTTCTGTTTATCTCACTATCCTATGAGATCCGATAGTTTGGAAAGTTTTAATAAGATTTCATCGGCTCTTGGCATTCCCACTCCCATTAGGTTTCGGTACAGTAAATTTTGTATCACTGTCCATTTATTTTAATCTCAGTTAAAAGTCACTCGAGTAAATCGAATGAAAAAATGTATTATTTAAGATTGAAACGGCTGAGTGCGTGAAGAGTAACATTCAGAAAAGAAAAGTGGTATGCATACATATATATACAACCCAGCCCAAATCTAATGATCTCTAGGAGGCGTTAGTGTTGCAGAATAATATTTATAGCATTAAGGGTCTCGCTATAAACGCTTAGTACTTAAATATAACAACCATCAAATTAACTAATTGTTTTGTAGCGTTCATTACTAGTTGGTCCTAAATATTGCTTCATATTGAGTAATTTTATGTTTTGTTTTGCCCGTTGCAGCACCTGATGTCAAGAACTAATAAAAAATATTGTACGAAAACACTCATGTTCGGTGTAGAATTAGTGGGATTAATTGTAATATTGATGGTATTTGTGCCCACATTTTTTATATGTCTCATATATTATTAGGAACCTTGTAACCAACACAGTTATGGACCCACAAGCAATTTGCTGAATAAATATTTTCGAACAAACTTAGGATTAGCCTGGATGATCTTTTCTATATGAAAGTTGAGGTTGAAAACTGACGATGATGAGTTAAGTTTTAACGGTGAAAGAGTTTATTCATACACAGCTAATTTGGAGGCAAATTTTTACTTAAACTTGTAGGTAATATGGGCGACTTAATTTTGTCTAACGAAGAACAAGGCTTAGATTCTCGATCGTGTGGTAAAATACGGGGCAGTTGTAGCTTAAGAATAACCGAGACACATAAGTTGAACTTCCGGCTGTTAGAAACGTGATAAGCTACGATTAAAAAGTTACAAAAAGTTTTATCTTCTTACAGAACAATATTTTCTCTTTGAAAGTGTAATGAACTTCAATCGTTAAGACGAATAGAGCTTGTGAAACAGCACTAAAAAGAAGTAACAGGAAAATAGTACAGCGCGGAGATGGTACCAACTGTCAGAATCTTGTCATACATGATGTTTCTAGTCTCATCCTCCATGTTCTCGTACCACAAAGCTTTTCTGGTAAATACGGTTCAAAGACCCTCTTATACAAATTATCATACGACACTCTACCCATTATTTTATAATGCATATGTTTATCAACTAACGGAGATCTGCTAAAATGCTTTGTTTTCAATATTTCAGCACGGAGAAGGGCGAGAAAGTACCATGGAACTATGCAGAAGTCCGTAGTTCTTAGAGCAGCCTGGTTCCTGCTGGTGTTCAAATGCTGTGTATGTGTTGGTGAGTTGTACATTAGTGTTTTTTTTTTTGTCGAGATTTGCGTTCATTTTGCGTATCTCTAAGTTTATTTTATCCCTGTGTTAAATCTGCCCACTATTCTGATTTAATGATCATAACCATTCTCAACGATATCAAAACAAGTAATAAAACATTTTGTAAATGTAAAATGATGTAGGGATGGCAGTGTCAAAAAAGAATACAAACAAGAACATAGGGATGATACAACCATACATAGATCATCCATACATGACTTTTAATATTAAAATTTAATGTTACACTGTAAAACGCACGATTACAGAATGGTTACGAGGTCGGTCAATTCGACTGAAACAAGAAGGAAAAATGAACAAATTGGTGGGTTGGTCACTTTCTGGTTTTGTATATTAGCGATGGTTTCTTGCCATATTTTGGGGCTTGTTGGGTAGAGGAACAAATCAAAGTGAGAGACAATTATCTTTTTAAAGTAAAACTCTCTGTCATCATTGATTTTTTTTTTTTAGTGTGCATATAGATAAAGTCTACCGACTCCATGATAAAAGAAACTGATAACCATGATAGACATAATATTTCGAATATTACGAGAGAAACTACAAATGAAAAAAAAAATTTTCCAGTTGTATTCCCCTAAATCTTAAGTTATTTATCTTTCATCTTTCCTCTAGCTGGGGCTAATACACCGCCCCGATTCGCTTTAGTGGGCGTCAGTGAAATTGTGGTCCGAGTAAAGGAAGGGCCGGAAAGTGTTGGTAAGTCCATAAAGTTTGTGATTCTATAAAATGTATGATATATTTTTAAGTCAAGTTTGCACGCTCAGTCATAGTTTACTAATTGGCTTTATCATAGGGCTGAAAAAATTATTATTTTTTTTAGGCCAATGTTTAACTTCCTCTCTTTAACAACAATATTTCTAGAATTCTACCGTTATAACCTTTAAAGACGTTAGATCTACGACAAACCACGAATGATGTAAAGATGTTAGACCTAAGAACAATGTTAAGATCTTAGATCTAAGACAAATCACGAATGATGTAAAGATGTTAGACCTAAGAACAATGTAAAGATCTTAGATCTAAGACAAATCACGAATGATGTAAAGATGTTAGATCTACGACAAATCACGAACAATGTAAATACTTTAACTAAGAACGACACTATAATTATTTACAAATAATAATAAAAGCTCGAGAGAACTAATTCAAACGTTGTTACAAATTGATGCTGAACTTGGACAAGTTTGATAAAAAAAAATGCATGCGATTTTCTAAACCTCTACACAAGAACTTTAACAACACACCCTACATTTATTATTCAATGATACGATACGGTGCCAAATCGTACTTGCTTTTTTTTTTGTTAATGCTTTGCTGCTCTGTTTATTAGGTATATCATGTAACCTAAATCGATCGATTTACTGACTAAGTGAATGAACAGTGACTAATCCTTCCTACGGAGAGAGAGGTTTATTGAAATAGTGCTGATTAATACAAAATGTGAGTGTTTGCAGTCACAAATTGCTTTTAAAGTACGTCCTGCTTGTTTACAATGATCTAGAAATGCTTTTAAAGAATCGGAATTAGAATTTATTTAAAATGTAAAACTTGTCAACCATATTGTTACGTCTCCGTTTGTTAATTAACTTTCCGTAACTTCGTTCCGACGAAACTTTA